GTAGTTTAAGGGGTCTGTCCCTTAAGAACTCGCCAATTTTCGATTTTTGTTTAAAAATAGAAAACGGTCATACAGATTTTCATGAATTTTGGTAGGATGAAAGAGTACTTCCTTACCCATCTTTTGACCAAAAATTTTTAATTTTGGCAAAAGGGAATTTAAGCGCTATTAAAAAATCGATTTTTGACAGATAGGTCACTTCTGTACCTTCCTTGTCTCACAATTATCATCAGTTTTCTATGCGCTTTCTGTTGAGAAAACCTCTAGGTCATACAAAGAGAACAACGAATTCGATTTTGGAAATTCCGTTTAGTTTCTGAATTATCGCATGTAAAATAATCGCCAAAAAAATTAAAAATAGGGGTTTTAAAAATTTGTTAAAGTTTTTAAATTTTGATTTTACAAAATCCCATTCATTGTTCTATGCAATTTCAAACGTTCTTTTTTTGGGGAAAAGCTCTATGATATCGGACACAAACTCTGAAGTGTGGAAGGTACCGAAGTTTAAAAAAATGAATAAACAAATAAATGACCTTGAAATTTTTTAGAAAGTTTTTGTTCATATTCTATATTTTTTCGTCTTATTATAGTATGCGCCAATAGGCCAAAAGAAAGCCCAGACTTTGCTCTTTCCTTTGTTTTTTATTTCATTCAGATCAGATAAGTTATTAGTGAACAGCACAAAAAATGTAAAACAGTATGATGAAAAAATCCCCATCCGACGCCACCATACAGCCTACTAAATGCTGTGGTTAGCCCTGCGATCACACGCACGCATGTCACAACTTGTTGGCCATGCCTTCAGTGATCCTCTACTCTTCATATCACACTCCAACTAATAGGCACACACTCATGTGTGTGCGGGTGCATGTACATGTGCGGGCGTGGCTATACACACATGCACGCGCATTCATTCATTCAAACACACGCGCTCGCGCAATCGTACTTGAGCGAGCAATCATAATTGCACACACACACGAACACATACAAAAGTGCACATGTGTGTGTGCTGTATAATTACCTTGGCACATGTCTGAACTCACACTCCTGTCTTCAGCCGTAATTCATCTTCTACATCACCCTCCGGCAAACACGCACATGTGCGCATGCTTGCAAATACAAACACACATATACACACTTACACGTACTCACACTTATACACATGTCGAAATAAACAACTGATTTTTGGTAAATGACATTGAAAGTGTTTAAAAAAATTTCGTTCATTTTCCATATTTTTTGTTTCGATTATAGTATGTGCATATAGTCCAAAAGGAAGCCCAGACGTTGCTCTTTCCGATCATTCAGATCGGATAAGGAGTTAGTGAGCAGCATCAAAAAATATAAAATGGAGTGGTGATGACATGATCCCAACGCCACCATGCGGGCCTTTAAATGCTATGGTTACCCCTCCAATCGCGTGCACAAGTTTGAATTATATATACATGTACACACATAAGTGCATCTGTGTGTGTGTGTGTGTGTGTGTGTGTGTGTGTGTGTGTGTGTGTGTGTGTGTGTGTGTGTGTGTGTGTGTGTGTGTGTGTGTGTGTGTGTGTGTGTGTGTGTGTGTGTGTGTGTGTGTGTGTGTGTGTGTGTGTGTGTGTGTGTGTGTGTGTGTGTGTGTGTGTATGTGTGTGTGTGTGTGTGTGTGTGTGTATGTGTGTGTTGTGTGTGTGTGTGTGTGTGTGTGTGTGTGTTGAGGACAGCAGAAGGCAGGCAAGTGAGTTCAGATGTGGGCGGATGTGATTGTAGGGCACACAATGATGCTTTGTATGGTTACATGGACCACATGGTGACGTTGGAGAATAGGGTCATTGTCTTGCTACCTTCCATTTTGCGATGGTGACCAATAACTACTCACCTAATCTGACTGAAATAAAAAACAAAAGAAAAGGAATGTCTGGACTTCCTTTTTGTGTTCAGGAGCAGACATTAAGCAAGCAGAAAAATAAGGAAAATTAACAAAACTTTTTTTTCTACACATTTGTGCCACCTTACAGCTCAGAACATGCACGAGGAAGAAAGACAACAAATTTGATATTGAAAATTCAAAATATCAAAACTTTGATAAACATTTAGGATCCAGATCTTTTTTTTTGGGGGGGGAGGGGGATAAATGGTGTGTAAGAGAGTACTTTTCACCCTACCAAAATTCATGAAATTCTGTAAGACCATTTTTAATTTTTTAAAATTTAAAAATACATTTTTTCTAGGATGGTCCCCTTAAGACTTAATAGCAGCACCTGAGGCACGGTGCATTGGTGCGGCAATGCTGGCCTCAGCCTGTATTGGTAGCAGGTATTTCTTGTTAGCAGTGCACATAAATTTTCAAAATTTGGTACATATATGTATCCTGGAATTCATGTTATCATACATTTATTAAATTTCATATTGTAGTTTATTAAAATTCTTATATGTTTACAGACACATACATGAAAACTGTTTAGAACCCTAATAAAGAGACAAAAACATGGTTAGTGATGAATCCACAAAATATTGGTGATGAAAAATTGGGATCCCCTGTACTTCTTAAATATCATTTAATACTATTTAAGCATAATCTACATTTTTTTGTTGTTTTTTTGTTTTTTGTTTTTAAAGACTGGATATCAGTAATTACCTTGAAGCTTTTGCAGGCATCCCAGCCTTGAGATACATGTTGATAGCAGCCATGTAGTCACCTTCAGCCTCTTTCATTTGTCCGGCCTTCTCCTCTTGGTGTGTCTCCAGAAGCCACTGCAAGTGTGCTCTTCGAAGGGATTCCACCTCTGGATGTCCCTTAACTTCTGCCAGCTGAACAGCTATTGATTTCCAAGTTGGGTATTTTGTAATCACTGATATTTTAGTCATGGTTTTCAATGATGCATGCAAATTCTGACAAAAATGTTGTTTTATGATAGTTTTTCTGCTATTAGATTTGTATAATTATCATTACTTCACTGATATTTTAATATATCAAAGTGTCCATAAAGGGATACATTTTTGGTGAAAATGTTCAAGCTCCTTCATAAATATTAGCATTTACAAAGATCACTGAAATTAATTAATAACTTTTTTTAAACATAAAAGAAACAAAAACGAGGAAGGGAAAAAAGTTTGTTTTCCATGTTTAGCAGCTGTTTAAATTTAGTAACTACGTAACCAGATACAAATAATATATGCAATAACTGAAATCTACCTTCATCCCATTTGTGTAGCTCCTGATACATCTCCATAGCAGCACCCAGGTTATTGTAATCTAGATAGATACTCTCTGCAGTTTTGAACTGTTTATCCAGAATGGCTAGTCGAGCCTGCACTTCATGATGGTTCACCCCATCTTCACCTGAAATTATAGAGATATATACTGATCTTAATTGTTTATATATACTTTGCTAATTAGAAGAAATTGATTCCATAATGTGTACTTCATAGGTTCTACACTTTTGTGAAAAAACACTCAGATTGCCTTTGTCACCTGAATTCTCTTGAATAAGTTGCCTGATGTGGTTAATGCCTTGCAGGTACCTCACTTTGGATACATCTCCTAAGGCAGCAAAACATCTTTCAGCAATATACAGCTGACGCCCTTCTAGTGTAAGCCTGGCAAGTGTACGCCACATTGTTTCCGCTTCAGCAGTCATAGGCAATGACTGAAAAAATAATAATCAATAATAAATGATGCAAATCATCATCAATGTTAGGGAAAGTAATATCACACTGTATCTAACAAATCAATATTCAAGGAATTACCTCCAAGTAATTCATGGCTCTCAAAAAGTCTCCATCATCAACAGCTGTTCCAAACTCAATAAGTCCTTCATCAAGTGCATAAGACAACTCTTGGACTCCATCTTGTACTATAACCTGAAAATGTGTATCTTAAAAAGTTCAATAAAGTAACATTTTTGATATTTTCACTAAACATATATTTCACCACTAATATTATTTAATGCTACTGAGAAGCTCTATTAACTATTGAATAATAAATTAATAGCCCTCCCACATGTGAGACTGCGGGTGCATCTGCTTTTGAGTGGACCAAAAGGGGATAAAGAAACCGATTTACTTCAAATCTTGTTACCTCTGTTCGCCCATCAGCTCTTTCCACATCCACAACCTCTCCTTTGATTTGGAATGTTGTGACACGCTCAGGAATATCAATGTTGTACCACACGCAAAGTTGCTCTCGACTCTGTGCTACCACCACATCACTACCTGGCACCCACTGTGATGAAGATCAATAAATTTAAATAATTTTAATTTAAATTTGTCATACTTCTTACACATTAAAGAAACATTCTCTCTATTTCTGAAGTTTAAAGAACACCTAGTAAAACACAGGACTTACCTGTACAAAAGTTGAGTAATTTAGTATAGATGTCTTCTGTAATGAACCAACATTGATGAGCAGCAGTCTTTGCCTTTTGTCCCTGAATAAAAGTTGTGTTCCCGTCTCATTCAACTCAAGCCAGTCAATTCGAGAGTCATGAGTAACTTGACCAACTGTTACGCCAAAGACTAGATCCACTGTGAAGAGTAAAACGAGCTTCTTTAGCAGAAGTTTTCATGTCAAAGAACTCATATTACTGAAATCACAGAAGTATGGTTGCTGGATATATGTTGGGGGAAAAAAAAAATTTCATTAACTTACCCATACATATTGTCTTCAGATCTAATAAATAAGCCATTTTTTTGTTGTCCTCAATGCCTCTCTGACGGCGCTCATTCAGCCTTACGCTGATTAGATGTGGGTTCATGAATTCAGTTCTGTGTGGAGCATTAAAAAAATATAAATTTTCATAAAAAGTGCAAAGCAGTTTCAATCATCATCATACTATTTCCTTTGAACAACTTTTTAGGTATTTTTATCAGTTATTGTGTATTGTCTAGTTAAAGAAAAATAATTATCTTACTTAAAGGAGATAGAGAGAAAAGAAAATCTTTGTAACAATTTTACAATTCAAGAAAACATACATTAATGAATGATGAGGATTATAACTTTGTACAAAAATAAA